AGCTCCCGGAGAACTGGCTGCCTGGGCGCAAGGCGCGGGGGGCTGGGGGAGCCTCGCTTATGAAGTTTTTAATCACATAAAGAGAAAATCTTTTCAATTTTTACTCTAAAATCATATGAAAATAAAGTTGATTATATACCTAACTTTGACTTTTCTTCTATGGTATATTAAACTATAAAATCAATTATCCTCTGTAAGATATACTTTACCTTAAAATGTAAATGCACTGTTCCATTAAAAGGAAAAATTTTGCCATTGTAAATGCTTATTTTTGCTCTATATTTTGGATTCTAAAGTTATACACACACATTTGTGTGTGTGCGACCTCAAAAACACTCAAATTATCTTTATGAATCTTTCTAGAATTTGGAGCCCTGTCATGTTTCAACAGACTGTCTCCTGAAAACAATCTTTATAGGCTTTCTTTCACCACATAAAATTCTCAGTAATAAATCCATGTATCTACAAAGCCACATATCCTGATCTTTTTAGAAAAAATGTAGGTGCAAACAGAGTGAAGAACTGAGCAAAGGACCACTGAACCGAACAACTGGTCTGTACTACTCCACAATGTCATTTTCATGGAAGGCACTATTACGAAAGACAAAGAAAAGCTGGAAAACTACTCCAGGTTATAAGAAAAAAATAAATGTGATAACTGTGCAATATGTGATTCTGGATTAGACAACTGGTAAAATTTTAATACGGATTATATATTAGGTAACAGTAATAAAAATGTTATTTCCTGAACTTGATTATACTGTGGTTAAGTAGGAGATAACTGAATATTTTGGAGTGATAGATCATGATTGTCTATAACTTTCTTTCAAATGGTTCATCATCGTCATAATGGTGGAGGAGGAAGACAGTATTAGACACAGATAAAGCAGATGTAACATTGACAAGGGGTAAAACTGGACAATGGGCATACAAGTGTTCAGACCAACTTTGTAACTAGTTGGTATATTTGATAGGTTTTAATAAATGTCAAGTTGAACTAGAAGAGAAAAATTTTCATTATGAGGAAGAAAATACTACTTTCTCAGAGTTGGCTAGAAAGCAATTAACAAAGAAAAAGACGAGCTAGTGTTCAGTCAGTAGATTATTTTATTTTCTTCTCCCTGGTCATGGTTTTTTTTTTTTTTTTTTTTTTGGTTTTTCTCCGGTACTGGGAACCGAACTCATGACCTTGCGCTTGCCAGGCAGGCGCTTTGCCACTGAGCTAAATCCCCAGCCCCTCCCTGGTCTTTTGTACAATCAAGCTACTAACATTCCCTTGCTAAAAACTATTTTCTTTCTTCTTTTTTTTTTCTGGCAGTGCTATTGGTTGGACTCAGTGACTTGGGACTTAGGCATGCTGGGCAAGAATTCTACCATTAAGCTATACCCCTAGCCCAGTCTTTCTGAGGGCTCTTTCACATGATTAAAAATTCTGTTATAAAACATGCTTTTCTGAAAAAATTTTTTGTTGTTGTTTTTTTGACACAGGGTCTGGCTATGTAGTTCAGGCTGGCCTTGAATTCAACAGCTACCACTCTTAGCTAAAACTCTTTTTTTAAAATTGAAATGCTTAATCATTTATCTCTCCTTACTGATAACTAACAGTAAGATTCCAAATGACAGAAAACATTGTTAGTAAATGTATCACCAGTTATCAAAAACCAGAAGCCTAGACTTGTGCTTGTTCTACAAATTAATGAAATTTTAAAGAGAGAGGTACAGCATTAAATGAGGCTTTTCTGATACAATTTTGTACTTCTCATCCTTGCTTTAAAATTCTTGCTGGGTGTGGTGGCCACACCTGTAATCCCAGCCCTTGGGAGGCTGAGGCAGGGAGACTGTTGCAAGTTCAAGGCCAGCCTGGGCTACATAGAGGTTTAAGGCCAACCTGAACTACATCACAAGACTCTGCCTCTAAATAAATACATTTAAAAAAACCAACTCTCTTGATAAGTACTGCTTCCACCTCCCAAAGTCATTGTTTACTGCAAATGCAGGCATTGTTTGTCAGCTAAAGTTCATTACTTCTCACTTCCATAATTGTTGATCCCCACCCTCTAAACTGATAGCTATTACGCTTCATACTGACTGTCATGTCTTCCTTCAAAAAGCAAGTGTGCAGCCAGGGCCAAGGGGATGAAGGGGACTTATAGGTGCTATTACTGTTCTGCTTCTTCACCTTCATAATGGCCATAAAAATGTGTTCAGAACATAACTCAAAAGTTACGTGCTTAGCTGTGTATGGTAGCACATGCCTATCATCCCAGTTATTTGGGTAGCTAAGGCAGGAAGATAGTAAATTTGAAGCTGGCTGGCATAATTTAAAAGACCTTATCTCAAAATAATAAAAAAAAATTTTAAAGGGCTGGGGATGTAGCTCAGTGGTAGAGCACTTGCCTACCATGTTCAAGGCATGTAAGGGGGTGGGATTAAACTTTGTTAAAGTTTGTGATTTTTATCTCAATGTTATAATTCAATAAGAAATCTGTTAATTTAAAAATGTTCTTCCTGGAATTCTTTCCCTTACTGATTTACAGTTTCTGATTATTCTTCAACTCTTCATCTATGGTCTTGGCTTGGCACACATTGTTGTATTACCCACAGGTTGCTATTACTATAGTCCTATTTGTGGATACACTGGTTTTATTCCTAGTTAGTTCATGAACTCTAAGAAAATAGCAACAATGTAAAACTGCCCAAACGGACACTACACCAAATGAGAATTAACGACTGGACATATGCTAGATACACATGAAATAAACTTCGGGATGGTTAGTGTAATTTTCTGCTGCCATTTTTAATGCGGTAAGAACTTAAGAGTTCTGTAAGATATAAGATCTGAACTCTACACTGGTTTTAATTTATAATTTTTCTAACATGTTCACTTAGGAATGCTGAAGTACTTGTTTTATAATGACCTTGAAGCTTTCCAGACCAAACATATATTTCCATAAAAAACAATACCCAGTAGGTAATCATTTTCCCTCTGTATTTTTGCAGAGACAAAGCTATTTAAAAATAGTTATAATAAAATAGGCATGGTGGTGCACACCTGTAATCCCAGCACTCGGGAGGCTGATGCAGGAGGAGTGCCATGAGTTGAAGGCCAAACTGGGCTATACAGCAAGTTCAAGGCCAGCGTAAACTAAATAGTGAGACCCTGTCGCAAAAAAAAAAAAAAAAAAAAAAGCTATAATTCCTACCTGGGAGACTTCCTTGTTCATAATGAATTCCCAAAACAGATCTGGTCAAATCTAGTGCTCCAGGTGGTAGCTTCCAGGGAATGGGGTAATGATATTTTCCAGAGATGGTTCTAGTCTCTTCACTCTCTCCTTGTGTAAGGCCAATTATACAAACAACTAAAAACAAGAAGAAAAAATAAAAGCAAAAAGGAGGTTAGATTGTCATTTTATTCTCCATGAAATCATAATGGCCAGAAATGCAAGGAAAGGAAAGAAAATGCAACTTTTAAGGCCAAATGGAAAAAAAATTTCTCAAACACAACAGAGATCTGACTTGACAAATGAAGTCCTTTCTGGTGATTCCTATTTGAGACAACTTGCTGCTTAAGTAATACATAATTATATTTTTTGCCCTTCCTTTTTTTCACTTTATATGTCTTTTAAAGATTGTTTCTGGCTGTACTTTCTTATTATCTAAAAATTCTGACTTTTCACATTTTCAGTTATCATTTAATTCTTTTACTTATTTAATAGTCACCCTACATGTTACATGAAGTTACAATATTTTAAATTATTTAATATGGTACCTTAAGATTTTATTGAAAAAGTTCACACATTTTTATATTAATGATAAAGTTACTTGAGCTCTGGGTTCCAGTAATGATGGACTCTTTTGCACTGGACCAACTTGAGCACAGATAATAATTATAAATTCTGGTTAAAACATGAAAAACAACTGAAGACACTGGGAAGTTACTAAAGCAGGCATAGACTGTAGGGGATTTGATCACTAGAAGAAAAGGACCATGCTGGGTTGAGATAAATGCTTACAAGACTTTCCCTTGAGTGAACTTTTCCCTATACTTTAAGTGCTGGATGGCTGGAACAAAAGCAGAAAATCAAGGTCTACAGTATTTGATTTTAGGCATTTAGCAGCTCTATATTAGGGCTAACAGAAACCTGGAAAATGATTGACACGATTATCTAGACTACAAATATCAACCTGAGTTTTATTAGTGTTTGAAAGCACTTATTTTTTGTATGTCTTTGTTTATTATTCTGTGGCATTTTAGTGCATGTACCAATTCATACACAGTCATGAGTCACATAACATTTCAAAAAGTGGCAGAGCAGTGAGTGGCAGCAACTCAGCTTCTCCAGGACAAAGTGTCTAGAGTCTGGAAAACAGGTTGGAGAGGAACTGAAATGAGTGGAGGTTATCTGGGAATCAGGGAATGAGGGAACTGATAGAGAAGAAAATATGATTAAGTGACTTAAAAGAAACTGATAACACTGTGGAGAGGAGATTGCACAGGCCACTGGCCTGGCTACTTGCCAGCTGGGAGGCAAAGTGAAGCTAACACAAAAACTGGAGAACTGCATCAGGCCTGAAAGAAGCACCTGCAGTGGGAACCAGCAAGGAAAACATGGCACACTGCTTCCAGAGCAGACTTCCACAATCAACAGTTGGGGAGTGACCTTGATCCAACCACCCATGGCAACTACCCAGGAGCAAGAGCTGTCCAGGAAACCACTGTCTGAACCCGGGTCCCAGAGCAGCCCCGGGGCTGCTTCACACTGCTGAGTTCCCAGTGGACAAGTGGAACCAGGCACAGGGGATTGCCGGCAGGAGCAGCGCACACTGGAGAGGGTGCTGTTGAGAGGCTGGGACTGGAGAGCACAGACCAAGCTCCTGTGGTCAGAGGTCAGGTTCCACCTGAGTTACACAGGATGGGAAGCTCTGGTTGGTGCCGTGTTCTCATTGCAAGCAGAGCTCTATGCCCAGCACAGTTCTGGGGCAGACTGCATCTTAGACTTTCAACAAAAACATCCTAGCTTAGGCTCTTTGCCTTAATTCTAGGCTGAGAGAAAGAGCCATGTGTGTAAAATAATAGATAACTTTTATTATTCTTTATTTGATTGTATTACTTTTTCATTTTTTGATATTCATTTTACTTTGAAAAATTTTTTTATTTTTAAATATTTTTGCTGTTTTCTTCCTACGTACATTCCCCCCCAACTTTCATTCCATTATTTTACCCTTTTTTCTTTTATGAACATGTCTATGTGTACTTCTCCTCCTCTTCCTTTTTTCTCCCAATATAGTTTATAAAGGGTGAAGGAATTCTCCCTTGTTTGTTTATATCCTGCCTACTTTTACTGCATCTCTTTGTCTGACTTCTTTTTCCTGTGCCTTATACATTCTCAGTATTTTTCTTTCCTCTGGCCCCTTGTATTTGTCTCCTTTTAACTGTGTCCCTAATATTTATACTGATCATGAATCTTTTCCCATCCTTATTTCTCACTACCAATTTTATGACGTTTCCCCCGTTATCCCCTTCTAAGTATATAACATACCCTGACCATCATGGGGATCCTTTGTCCCCTATTTGCTCCTTCCAAGATCACAGAGCAGAGCACTTAAAAAAAAAAAATAAAAAACACCTTTTTCTCTTGTTTTTTTTTTTTTTTTTTCTCTTCTTTTACCCCCTCTGGCATTCCCTGATCCCCAGCCTTGTGGGCTTTACATAACTGGTTCCAAAAAATTGCTTTTGAATGTGGTTTTTCACCATTAGAGGAGATACAGCCACCGCTTTTAGTGCACATTAACTGTGGGTCAAACTTGGGCTGTTGAGACACTTACACTGTAATGTGCATTTCTTCTCTAGGCTAAAGGGTGACCCAAGTCAAGGTCTCATGGTTGTTATTTCTCAACTAGCCCTGACAGGAACCACTGTAACGGATTAGCCTGTTACTGCTATAGCTGATTTGATTGCACAGGAATAATCCTGACTCAGTGGACAATTTTGTGCCAGTGAACCTTTCTGACGAATCCACTATCACACCCAGGAAGAGGGACATCTTGATTTATTTAGTAATGTGGGGTCATGGTATGTTCTTTTATGGTGTTTATTACGTTATTTTGTGTATTTGTTCCTTCATTGGCTCTTATTTAATAGATGTCTAGATTCCCTCATCTCAGATTCCTATCTAATTTCTTCATCTCAAACACCGGAGACAATATTATTAACATATTTCTTTATTCTTTTTCCAAACAGGCAAATGCCTCCTCCAGTTTTTAAACTCCCCACACTTAACTCCCTCAGGCACTTCTATCTTCTCTACTGTTATTCCTTGAACCTCCCCATTCTAAGCCTTCAACTCTTCCATATCTCAGCAAGTTCTGAGGACCACATACCTTTCCTCAATCACAGCATAAACCCCCATTCTCCCATATCTTGCCCTTGGCCCCACAAAATATCCTCTGAAAACTAGCAATACTAACCCTTCATTCAACTCAGCTGAAAGTACTTCAATAAAATCAGACCCCACATGATCTTTTATTTTCCTCTACCACTATTCCCCCTTCAGCCTCCCCCTTAATGTCTAATACACCACATCCAAGCACCTCCCCTTCTCTCCACCCCACCTCATCTACTTCATTGCAGAACAACCACAAATAATAAACTGTCATAGTGTGAACAGAGAACAGAAAAAGGGGGAAAGTCTAACTGCAAGGACTATCATATAGAAGTGGTGTAAGATTGAATCTGTGAGTGCTGCTATAAAAATAAGTAATTCTTTGGGCAAAACATAGGAACAGAGTCCAAATCACTTAAGGTGAATAACAGAAGAAGTAAATACTAGCACTGAACACATGAAGCCAAAAATTATGCACAGGGAGACAACATCCTACTAAAAATCCCCCTATAAGCCACAAACTCTCCTCACTTCTCTTGTCCCCAACCTGTAGTAACCTCTCCAAAAAAGGAGGGGAAAAAGAGGAGGGACACACATAATTTTAAAATAAGTATAGATGCACATAGGAGAACGGGGAAGCAAGGAAACAGAAGATTGGTAACTCCCCGCAACTCTCCCAAGGCAGAGCAAGGGGCCACAAAAGCAGAAGAAAATAAATACCAGGTAGCAGAAATCTATGAAAAGTTCATAAAGGGATGAAGAAAATAGATGAGTTCAAAGAAGAAATGAACCAAAAACTCACAGTAACTTTACTCAGTAGGCTCATAGTGAATTTTGGGGAACAGGTAAACAACCTGGACGAACTAATGGAAACAGTTCAAATAGCTATGCAATCCTCAAAAAGATGTCAGACAGAAATAACTGAAATAAAAACAACTGAACAGAATTCATACATAGCAGAAATGACCAATGTGAAGACAGAATGTTTGATATTGAGGGCAAAACAGTGAATTATGATAAAGAGCTCAGAGAAGCCCCCCGCTAAAAAACAAAAAAGAAAGAACAAGAGAAGACTATCCAGTAGCTACTAGATGACAAGAAGATGACCAACCTAAGATTAATCAGAGTTTGACAAAAACTAGAAGATAGCACAGACAGGTGGATTCATTAACATGCTTACAGAAATCATGGAAGAAAACTTCCCAAATATAAGAAGAGTTTAAAATTCAAGTAAGCAATGCTTATAGCACACCAAACAATTATGATGAAAAAAGAAGCTCACCAAGGCAGGTCCTTATTAAATTACCAGCTATCTAGCAAAAAACCCCAGAATTTTAGAAGCAGACAGAGAAAAACAAAAAGTCACATATAAAGTTAACCAATTAGAATACAGCAGACTTCTCAACATAAACCCTAAAGGCCAGAAGAGTATGGAATGAAGTATTTTAAGCCCTAAGAGTAAATAACTTCCAATCCTGATTAATTTACTCAACAAGGTTACCTTTCAAAACAGACAAAGAAATAAAATATTTCCATGAAAAAGACCACCTATTTTCATAAAACAAAAACTGCTGAAATTAAAAGATCAAATAAACACTAACACAATCATAGTAGGGGATTTAACACTACACTTTCACAAAGAGACAGATTAACTAAACAACAAACCAATAAAGAAATTTCAACTGAACCACATCCTTAAATACATGGACTTAATGGATATACAGTATACAGAGTAATCTATCCGTTTACAACAAAGTATACGCGGTACTTTTTCCACAACACATCACATACTAGCCCACAAAACCTGCTTAAGTACATATAAAAGAATAGAAATTACCCTATGCATACTCAGACCACTGTGCAATGAAAATAAAAATCAATGACAGAAGAAATTTTGGAAAAGGCAAAAGCTCCTGGAAAATTAACAATATACTTCTGAATAACCAACGGGTTACAGAAGACATCAAAGAATAAAT